TAACCCTAACCCTTACCCTAACTCTAACCCTAACCCTAACCCTAACCCTAACCCTAACCCTAACCCTAACCCTAACCCTTACTCTATCCTAACCCTAATCCTAACCCTACCCCTACCCTAACCCTAACCCTAACCCTAACCCTAAACCTAACCCTAACCCTAACCCTAACCCTAACCCTAACCCTACCCTAACCCTAACCCTAACCCTTACCCTAACTCTAACCCTAACCCAAACCCTAACCCTTACCCTAACCCTAACCCTAACCCTAACCCAAACCCTAACCCTTACCCTAACCCTAAGCCTAACCCTAGCCCTAACCCTAAACCTAACCCTAATCCTTACCCTAACCCTAACCCTAACCCTTACCCTAACCCTAAGCCTAACCCTAGCCCTAACCCTAAACCTAACCCTAATCCTTACCCTAACCCTAACCCTAACCCTAACCCTTACCCTAACCCTAAGCCTAACCCTAACCCTAACCCTTACCCTAACCCTAAGCCTAAGCCTAACCCTAACCCTAACCCTAACCCGAACCCTAATCCTTACCCTAAACCAAAACCTAACCCTAGCCCTTATGCTAACCCTAACCCTAACTTTAACCCTAACCCTAACACTGACCCTAACCCTTACCCTAACACTAACACTAACCCTAAACCCAACTCTAACGCTAATGCAAACCCTAAACCTTACCCTAACCCTAAACCTAACCCTAAACCTTACCCTAACCCTAACCCTAACCCTAGCCCTGACCCTTACCGTAACCCTAAGCCTAACCCTAACCCTAAACCTAACACTTACCCTAACCCTAAGCCTAAGCCTAAGCCTAACCCTAACCCTAACCCGAACCCTAACCCTTACCCTAAATCAAACCCTAACCCTAGCCCTAGCCATAACCCTACCCCTAACCCTAACCCTACCTTTAACCCTAACCCTAACACTAACCCTAACCCTTACCCTAACTCTAACCCTAACCCTTACCCTAACCCTAACCCTAACCCTAATCCTTCCCCTAACCCTAAACCTAACCCTAACCCTAACCCTTACCATAACCCTAACCCTATCCCTAATCCTCACCCTAACCCTAACCCTAACCCTCACCCTGTTGAAAGGAGCCGCGGGAGACAAGCCTCATGCTATCATGGTCAGCAAGTCACGTTTATTGGTTACCAAAGATTCTCTCTTATACAGGTCTTAATGATCCTCATACATAGTGCAAAAGCGAGCTCATCATTGGTGCTTAAAGCTGAATGCCAATCCCTCCCATCTTATGCCTGTTCTTCAGTCCTGAGATATTGCTTCTGTTTCTTTGTATCCACCATGTCCTGTGTCCTTGCTGCGTTAACAATTTAGACAAGCTGGTTCCGTAACCCTGCAGCTCGTGATCAGTGAGCGGTACCCTGCTGATGTGCCCTTTGTCACGTCGCCATTCCTGCACAGGGACCGACACGGAAAGCGTTCAGGTACCACCAGGCTGCGAGTTCACACGCATCTCTCCATCGTGCCGCGCTGCTCTGCGCTGTTTCCAGCAGGAAAGTTCCAGCACGCACGTAGAAGCGTCCCGCTCCGCACAGCGCCGGCCTCGCGACCGCCGCCTGCAGCGCGACGTCAAGGCGCCCGCGGAGCCGCTCGTCTCCAGCGAGTTCCCCAGCGCCATCGCCGGGCCGCGCCGCCCGCCCGGACGCCCCGCTCCCCCACCTGCCGGCGGCCGCCAGCCCGCGCTCGCCGCTCTCCAGGAAGGCCCGCACGGAGCGGAGCGGGGCCGGGGCGGCGCGGGCTCGGCCTCGCTGAGGTCCCCCACGTCCCCGCAGCCGGAGCCCCGGAAGCGGAGCGGGCGCACGACGACAGGCATCGCCGCGGGCAGCCGGGCGGAGCCGCGCGGTGAGGACGCGATGACCGAGCGCAAAGGACCCCGCCCGGACTGCCCGCCCCGTTCGGCGGACTGACCAATGGGAGAGGCGAGGGGGCGGGGCCGAGCGCGGGCGCCCCGCCAACGGCGGCTGCCGACGCGAGGCCGCCGCGACGGCGATGGGGCCGGCGGGATGGCGGAGCCGCGGGGCTCCGCGCGGAGAAAGCGGCGCTCCGCCGCCCCGTGCCTCGGGGACGCCGGGCGGTCAGGGGAAGGCACCGCCGCCGGCCCCGTCCGTCCCCCGTCGGAATCCAGCTGTTCTCGGAGGCGGAACCGAGCCGTCCTCCGTCGTTGCGGCGAGGCGCCGTCCCCGCTGAGTGACGTCATCAGCCCCGCGACCCGAGCAGGGGGCGGCCGTGCGGAGCAGCCGGGCCTCCGAGAGCCGCCTCGGCTTCTGCAGGCGGCTGTTCGGGGGGCACCGGGGCGGGGGCCGGGCTTCAGGTGCTGCAGGGGCCGCGTGCCGCTCTGCGTTGGCCTCGTGACGTCGCTGCGGTGCTCGGGGTTCCGCTCGGCGGGGGCGGCTGCCCTGCGTCTCCCCGCCTCCCCCACCCCGTGCGTTTCACTGCCCTCCTCCCCTCCCCCTGCCACGGATCGCCCGCAACCCCCCCCGTCCCTCTGTGTGACCCCCGGGGTTGCGCCTCCCTCCCCCTTCTTCCCCCTTCGTTTCCCCCGTTCTGATCCCTGTCGTTCTCTTCCGGCCCTCCCCTCTGCGCCTCCCCCATTCTGACCCCCAGGCTCCACCTATCTGTCCCCCCGCCCTCCCGCTCCCTCCCCTGTCCCCCGTTCTGATCTCTAATGTCCCTCCACCCCGTCACGAGTCTCCCCATTCTGTGCCCTACAGTCCCCCCACTTTCCCAGTCCCCTCTGTCTGACCCCCAGAATCCCCTCTCCTCCTCCCGGGTACCCCCGCTCCATTTCCCCCATTCTGATCCTTAGAGTCTGCCATCACCCCCCATTACCTTCTCTTTGACCCCCAGGGTCCCGTGTCCTCCTTGCTCCCCCCGCCTTCTGACCCCTTTTTCTGACCTCTGGAGTCCCCTGTGCTCCTCCCTGACCCCTGGAGTCAGTTCCCCCATTTTGACCTCCATTCCCCCCCAACCGGACTCCTTTTCTGCCCAATAGAAGCCCCCCACAACCCCTGGCTCTCTCCTCCCACCCCTTCCTCCCTCCAGCCCCAGATGCGCTTTCTGCCTTGCAGAGGCTCTGTTCACCCTTTTCCCTTCCACAACCCACTAAATTCCCCTCCAACTCTTTTTCAACCCCAGAGGCACCCCACTCCCCTCTTCTCCCCCAGATACTCCCCTGAGGTCTACCCCAGACTCCCACCCCATAGAAGCCCCCCACAACCTCCTCACCACTCCTAGACCCCCTTTCCTCCCTGTAGAGACCCCACTCCTTTTTTTTTCCCCCTCACAATCCTCCATCCACTCCCAGACCTGCCCTTTCTGCCCTACAAAAACCCCTTTTCCCCCTTTCAACTCCTCAAGTTGCCCTCCACAATATTCCCCTCCACAATGCACCCCTCCACCCCCAGACCCTCCTTTCCACTCACAGAAGCCTTTCTCCTCTTTTCTCCCTCACATTCTCCTCCCCACCCCCAGGTCCCCTTTCCACATCACAGGGCTTCTAGCCCACCACAATCCCCCAGTTTCCTCTTCCACCCTTTCTCCACCTCCAGACCCTCTTTCCAGCTCACGGAAGCCCCACTCACACCTTTCCCCCCGTAGATTCCCCACAACCCCCTGTCCACCCCCAGACTTTCTTTCCACCTCTAGAATCATAGAATCATAGAAACTGGCAAGCATAAGCTACAGCTTCTTCGTTCCGTGACCAAGAGCAGAACGTGTTCTGTGGAGAGAACACCTTTGGATCTCTGTACTGACCATCATCCACAAAGAGCTGATTAAGTAATGACGTATTGCTGTCAGCTGCATGAATGCTATCTGATTGAAGTATTGTACACTCCTGCAGCTAAAAGATATAAAAGCCCTGTAACAACAATAAACTTTGCTTCTTGCGCCACCAGAGCCTCAGCCCGTCTGTCCCAGGCGTCTTGAGCTGCTCTCCGTCATCTGGTGCCGAAACCCGGGAATCTCGGACTCCAGTGACAAAGGCGTCGCTTCCTCCCACGAGCCGCGGTTGGTGAGTTGAAATAGGGAGGTAAGGACTGGGGCATTGGACAGATTGTTAGATAAAATGGGACAAGCTGCAAGTACTGAACGAGGCCTTTTTTCTGCAGTGCTGAAATCATTATTCGTTGCCTGAGGAGTAAAAGTGACTCGGGGTCAGATTAGTCGTTCTTCAGATTTTATAGAGGAAGAATGCCCCTGGTTTCCCAGGGATGGAACTATTAATATGGAAACGTGGAACAAAGTAGGTGAAAGACTCCAGGGCTGTTATGCTGTGCATGGTCCTGAGAAGGTACCTATGTATACCTTTACGCTTTGGACTCTAATAAAAGAATGTCTCAGAGGAGACACAGGAGATGAGAAGTGGCAGCGGACCACTCGCTCAACAGAAAAGTTATATCCTGCCTTGCCGCCATCAAAATCTCTCCATCACATCCCTTCGTCCATCGGCACCCCCACCCTCCCCTCCCCAATATGAGCAACCTTTGGTTTGTAAATTAGCAAAGGACTGGCCGCCTTGTAAACCTCCTGGCACTAACATGGCAAAGGATATTTTACCCCCCGATGATTGGGGAGAGTTAGAAAAAGAGGCTGCTGAATCTCACCATAAGGACTCAGCGGCTGTATTCCCAGCGTTACAGGCTGCTGATGCCGCTGTGCAGACACAACAGACAGTCCATCAGCTCCATCACATCCCCTTGCTGTTCTGCCTGCCTTTCGAGCAGGGCGAATGCCTCCCCCACCTGGAGCAGATGCTTTGCTTATGCAACAATCTCCTATGCAATTGGCTTTGAAAGAAGCTAGGAAAGCTGAGGAAACAATAGATGAATTTTCTGGGCAACTTTTTCCGTCTCAAGTTTTCCCTGGCATACAGCATCAACTTGCAAACGGTGGCATTCTGAATGATTATGAGCCTATTCCTTTTAAACAACTGAAAGAGCTTAAAGCTGCTCATATCCTTCCCCCTTCTGACTGGCAAAGCTTGGCGAAGGCTGTGTTAAGTGGAGGTGAATATTTGCTTTGGACTTGCGAATATGCAGAACGGTTCTTCTTGTGCCCCTTTATTACCAGTTCCTCATTTTGGAGTGAACCCCAGGGGATTAATGCCTAATGATCTGTGGCAGATGGATGTCACACATGTACCTTCCTTTGGAAAATCTTCTTATGCCCATGTAACAGTTGACACTTTCTCTCACTTTGCAGTAGCCTCAGCCTTGTCTGGTGAAAAACTCTCTCATGTATGCAACCATCTTTTGCATTGTTGTAGCGTTATGGGAGCACCGGAATCATTAAGAACCGATCACGGGCAGCTTATGGAAGTAGTGGTTTTGCAACCTTTTGTCGACAAAATTCACCATGAAACTGGAATTCCACATCATCCAGAAGGCCAAGGCATAGCAGAAAAATTGAATCATTTACTGACAACTCAACGAAAGAAAATAAAAAGGGACATGGGGAATTAAAGATACTCCGTCCTCTATGTTATCACATGCATTATTTGTTTTACATTTTTTGACACTGGATGATGATGGAAAATCGGCTGCGGATGGACATTGGAGTAATAAAACAAGAGATGAACCAATGGCATACTGGAGAGATCCAATGGACGGTAAAACTTATGGTCCTGATCCTGTACTGATGTGGGGCAGAGGATACGTTTGTGTTTTCCCTACAGACGAAACCTCACCACGGTGGATACCGGAGAGAGACGTCCGACATGCCGGAAACCAAGGTGGGAAAACTGCGGAGGAAGATGCAGAGACTGACTGTAACCCAGACCTGGGAAAGAAAGATGCACGAGAGAATACGACTCGTGGCCCTAATCCTCAGGACCTTGTGGATCTCACATCACGGATGTAAAGCTGAAACATACTGGGCCTTTGTACCCAATCCTCCTATCATCCACCCGGTTCCTTGGGATGAACCCGTGCACATTCCGGTTTGCAGCAATCAAACAATGTTTATGGGGCAATATTCAGATGGACACATAATAGAGTTCTCTGCGCGTTTTAATTATTCTGGAAAGGTTGATGGTATGCCTGTATGTTTTCAGAGGAATCAAACACAATCCCTGTGTGAGAGAGTGGTAGTGCAAAATGACTGGGATACCAATGTTTCAACAGGAATTCATTGGGCTCTGAATGTTCTCTATCTAGATTTAGCTAATGGGACAAGAGGTTCTGGAACGCCTCCCTTAAATTTTCCTTTCTGTCAAAGCACAATCACTCCAAAAACAGAATTTGCACCTTTATGGAGAGCATGTCGAGCTAACGAAACGGTGTGCATTGATTCCACTATGTGTGATTGGAATATGATAGGAAATCAAGGGCGACCAATTGATTTGGTCTCAGGAATTTGGACAAAAAACAATCCTACGTTCTATTCTAATTTATGGAAAGCAGTCCCATCTATGGACAAAATCAAAGCAAAACGATTAAACTTGACTTGGATTCAATAAATAATAAATGGGCAATGACTGCAGAGTTACACAACTGAGTTTTATATGCGAGCTTGTGCTCCAGAACCTCCTGCCTTTTTAAGCGGACCGCTAAATATTGTAAGTAACATAGTAAACTGTACCGACTGTATAATCTCTAATTGTCTTAATAGCAGCAGTAGTTCCTTCTTGTTAGTGAAGCAACCCGATTGCGTCTATCTTCCTGTAAATTTGACACATTATTGGTATGCTGACAAGGGAATGGAAATCCTCCAAGAAGCTGCTTTGCCATTAATAGAGAGATCCAAGCGAATGATCGGATCAATAATAGCCGGAATAGCTGCGCTCAGTGCTGCCATAGCAGTAACTACAGTCGCTTCTATTTCTTTAACAACTCGTATTCAGACAGCAGCTTATGTTAATGAGTTATCAATTAATGTATCTAAAGCGTTACAAAATCAAGCTACATGGGATGAAAAGATTGAACTGCGTCTCAACTCCTTCAAGGATACAGCAGACATCCTGGGAAGACAGTTACAAATTGTAGCTGCTCGTGAATCTCTCTTATGTCACGCAGAATACCGAGCTGTGTGACTCCTGTTGAATGCAACAATACCAAATTCTCTTGGAACAAAATACAAGATCATCTTCAAGGCACATGGAATAATGCCAACACGTCATTAGATCTTAGGGAATGGAGGCAGCACATTCACGACATGATACAGTCGCACCATATGGATCTTTCAGTAGCAACTCAAACTACTACATTTATCAGCGCTCTAAAATCTGCATTTCCGTCCTTCAAATCATTTAGAAAAGGAATTTATGGGCTGACAGTCATTGCCATAATGATAATCATAGGAATTCTTGCTTGTCCATGCTTGATGAAAATAATAACAAATAGATTCCAAAATTTGCGTATAAATCTTAAAAAATTGGAGATGGAAAACACAAAAAATAAACCACCACCACCTCTGGTCTAATAAAATAGAAAAGGGTGGGATGAGGAAGACTGTGAAGCAAAACAGACCTGGCTGACCTGAAAGGGTCAAACAGGGAACACGCGGCCCCTCCTGAAAGGGAAGGACTGCCATGTGGAACTGGCAAGCATAAGCTACAGCTTCTTCGTTCCGTGACCAAGAGCAGAACGTGTTCTGTGGAGAGAACACCTTTGGATCTCTGTACTGACCATCATCCACAAAGAGCTGATTAAGTAATGACGTATTGCTGTCAGCTGCATGAATGCTATCTGATTGAAGTATTGTACACTCCTGTAGCTAAAAGATATAAAAGCCCTGTAACAACAATAAACTTTGCTTCTTGCGCCACCAGAGCCTCAGCCCGTCTGTCCCAGGCGTCTTGAGCTGCTCTCCGTCAAGGAGAGTTTGAGGATCTGAGGGATTTCACAGAAGAACTGATCCACAGCATTGCTATGGCAGAGAGGCAGTGAAAATGTGCTGACAGTGTGCAGGAGGGAATAGAGAAGCCCAGTGCCCCAGGCAGCTGCTGCCATGGTGGCACAAGCTCTGCTGTCCATCAAGGTCCCGTAGTGCAGGGGTTTGCAGATGGCAATGTTGAGTCACAAAAATGACTCTACACCAGGTTTGCACACTCTTTACTCTGAGTTATGCTTATGCAATTCTGGGTGCACTCGAACCCAACTCAATTTTACTCATATTTTACACCACATTTACTAACACTTTACTTTGGCTTTACTCACACTTCATTTTTGAGTGTGTTTCACTGGCACTTTAATCAAGGTTTACTCAAATTGCTCTTCAACCTTACACACACTTTACACAGGGCTTACTCACATTAATCTCAAGGTTTTACAGACACCCTATTCCTGGTGTGAACACTCTGTCATCCGGGCCTATCCACACTTTAATACGGGTAGACTCACACCTTACTGTGGGTTTTCCTCAAACTTTACTCCACATTTACCAACACTTTGCTCCGGACCAACCCACACTTTGCTCTGGGAGTTTCTCACACTTGACTCCAAGTTTACTCACATTGGACTCCCAGTGTATTCACGATTTTCTCCAGGTTTTACTCACATTTTGCACCAGACATGCACACTCTTCACTCTGAGTTTAGTCTTACTCTACTCTGGGCAGATTCACACTTTACTCTGGCTTTTACTCACACTTTACTCTGGGTTTATGAACACTGTACTCTGGGTTTACTCATACTTCTGTTTTGACTGTGTTCCACTCACATTTTACTCAAGGATTCCTCAAACTTTTCTTCAACATTACTCACACTTTGCTCCTGGTTTACTCACACTTTTCTCTGGGCTTTACTGGTACCCTACCCTGGGTGTGTGCACTCTCTCTTCAGGCCTACCCACACTTTACTCCAGGATTGCCTCACACTTGACTCTGAGTTTGCTCACACTTCGCTCCATGTTTCCTATAGCAAAGAAAGAAGATTTCAAAGGGCACCCAAGAAAAATGTTTTCTGATTTTACAAGGTGCATCTTGTTGCTTTTGGAGCACCATTGTCCAACTGATGTTGATTGAGGGTGTCTCCTAAGGAGATCTGCACAGGCAGGAGAAGCAATTGCTTGAGGTCTGACACAGTACAGACAACCTGACTGCTCACCTCCCCAGGCCTGACGTGTCTGCTGTATGCACCTGGCCCTTGCATCACTTTTCCTACACCAGAATTCTCCACTGCAGTCTGCAGCTGGATGGTACAGTTCCTTTACACCATTCCTTTACCTGCTTCCCTAAGAGAACTGTCTGCACGCAGGCACAGGATGTTGCTTCCTGCTTTAAAACAAACAACAGTAAAGCACAATACAATTTGCCTAAAAAGAGAACGCACTCCTCAGCCATATCCCATCAGTGTGGTTCACCTTCCCACTAGGACAAGTACTTTACATCAGTAGACAGGAAATGATAATTATTAATGGGGAAAAATGAAAAGGAGCAAAGCTCCACTGTGTGATCACAAGCATCCCATGCCATCTCCAAGGGCCCCAGAGATCGTGTCTGGGACAGGCAGCTTTCCAAGAGGACCTGCAGGAGAGCAGAGCCCTCTGGAAGCTGCAGATGGAACTTGGGAAGAAGGTCTCAGGGCAGTACGCTGCCAATGTTGTTTTTGTCCCTGCAGCTGCAGCCCAACCCAGCACACTCAATGCCCCCAGACAAGTCACTGGATTCCTGGGGGTGACCCAGTGCTGAAATGGCCACTGGGAAGCCAAGAAACTCTGATTTCTTCTCAGTGAACACAAACATCCATGAACCATTTTGGGTCATCGCTGTCAGACTCTCTCTACTGCTGAGTCCCTCTCCATCTGCCCTGCTGGCTCAGCAGCACCACTGCAGAGCCCTCCTTTGCCTGTGGGCCCCCCAGCTTCCCCTCTTGGGGTGGGTCCAGAGGAGGGCACTAAGATGATCAGAAGGCTGAGCAGCTCTGCTAGGAAGAAAAGTTGAGGGAACTGGACTTGCTTAGTTTGGGGAAGAGAAGATTCTGAGGAAACTTCATTGTGCCCTTCCAGTACTTCAAGGGAATGTATAAAGAGGAGGGGGAATGGCTGTTTAGCACAGTGGCTGGTGATAGAACAAGGGGGAGCGGTTTTGAACTGAGGCTGGGGAGGTTTAGGCTAGATATTAAAAGGAGGTTTTTCACCCAGAGGGTAGTAAAGCCCTGGGACAGGTTGCCCACATAAGTTGTGGATGCCCCATCCCTGGAGGCTTTCAAGGCCAGGCTGGAAATGAGAGGCTCTGGGCAGCCTGCTCTGGTGGTTGGTGACCCTGCCTGTAACAGTGGGGTTGAAACTAGATGATCTTTATAGTCCTTTTCAGTACAGGCCATTCAATATTTCTGAGACAACATAGGCATGTTTCAGAAAAAACTGAGTCATTTGTTCAGGCAGATGAGAAGACGACCCTACTGAAATTTGTCCATGACATTTTCCTCACTGCATCCTTGAGCTCCTGGTTCCGCATGCTGTAGATGAGGGGGTTTAATGATGGAGGCACCACCGAGTACAGAAATGAAACCACCAGGTCCAAGGATGGGGAGGAGATGGATGGGGGCTTCACGTAGGCCAAAAAGTCAGTGCTGAGAAACAGGGAGAGCACAGCCAGGTGAGGGAGGCACGTGGAGAAGGCTTTGTGTCGTCCCTGCTCAGAGGGCATCCTCAGCACGGCCCTGAAGATCTGCACATAGGACACAACAATGAAAACAAAACACGCAAATACGGCAAGAACACTAAGCACAATGAAACCAATTTCCCTGAGGTAGTCTGATTCAGAGCAGGAGAGCTTGAGGATGTGGGGGATTTCACAGAAGAACTGATCCACAGCATTGCCTCGGCACAGTGGCTGAGAAAATGTACTGACAGTGTGCAGCAGAGCATGGAGAAGCCCAGTGCCCCAGGCAGCTGCTGCCATGGTGGCACAAGCTCTGCTGTCCATCAAGGTCCCGTAGTGCAGGGGCTTGCAGATGGCAACGTAGCGGTCATAGGACATGATGGTGAGGATGCAATACTCTGCTGACATCAGAAAGACAAACAGAAAGGTCTGGGCAACACATCCAGCGTAGGAGATGTGCCTGGTGTCCCAGAGGGCATCGGCCATGGCTTTGGGGAGAGTGGTGGAGATGCAGCCCAGGTCGAGGAGGGCGAGGTTGAGCAGGAAGAAGTACATGGGGGTGTGCAGGCGGTGGTGGCAGGCTACGGCTGTGCTGATGAGGCCGTTGCCCAGGAGGGCAGCCAGGTAGATGCCCAGCAAGAGCCAGAAGTGCAGGAGCTGCAGCTGCCGCGTGTCTGCCAGCGCCAGGAGGAGGAACTGGCTGATGGAGCTGCTGTTGGGCATCTGCAGTTCCTGGGCCTGGAGTCCTGTGCAGAGTGCAGAAGATAATGACGAGTCAAGAGCTTTTTCAGAGACACTCCACCCCTATGCTATAACAGTGTTTCTTTCTCTTAGGACAGGGTTCATTTAACTCCATAACTTGAATTTACAGGAGCTTCACCATCCCTTGAGAAGTGGAAGATGAAGGAGCTCTTGCTTTCCTCTCATTGCCTAATCATATCCCAGCCTCCTGGATACTTTCTTCCTATGACATATTTCCATTCATGTATCTTTCGTCTGTCTGCACTCAGAGTGCCCATTCCTACCTCTGTGCACTTGAATTTCTACTAGAGAAAGCTGCCTGTTTGCTGGACAAGTGCATTATTCATGTCTGCAGAGAAGCATGGAAATTTCAGCTGGTGCAATCCTTTGGGAGAAGAGGGGCTGAAAGCACATGAGGAGTTTGTGCGTGTAACTGCAGACTGAGAAACGTCCAGTTCAGGACTCTTATAGCTGCGTTCATATTTCACATCTCCTTTCAGATCTCTGCCTCCAACTCATTCTCCTTCCCTAAGGACAGGTATGGGAAAATCCCTGCCTTGTCTCTCCTCTTGCAAAGTGCCCTTGGAGACACTCTGGCAGCGCTGAAGCTGTGATCCCCATGCCCCCAGCAGCAGAAGGCTCCTGCCCTGCCCTGCCCTGCCCTGCCCTGCCCTGCCCTGCCGAGGGGCTCCTTCCCCCCACACATCTCCCCGCAGCGCCCTGGGCAGCTCCCCAGGCAGGCTGAGCACCGAGCCTGGCAGGCGGCAGAGTCACAGCCTGCAGTGAGACTGACCTTGTCAGAGGCTGCCAGCGATGCTCCTCCAGTGAGCTCACAGCCTGCTCACACCATACACATCCTACAAGCTCTCTCTCCTTGCTCTGCTCTCCTCCTGTCACCTGCAGGCTGTGCTGTGCACAAGAGCTGCTCCTGGGCACAGCCGTCTCTCTGCAGCACTGCCCACTTTTATGAGCTCCCTGTGTCCCAGCAGCCCGGCCCAGCTCTCCAGCAGAAGATGGCATTTTCTCTTCCTCACTGCTCTCCCTGGGGATGTCCTCAGGTCTCTGCATTGGCAGCTCCTGATAGACAACAGGGTCATCTCTGCACAACGTACTTTGAAGTCAGATGAATTCATCACCAGTGCACAGACTGATTCCTGCAGCATTGTTTGTCCTAGCAGACTGTGTGTGCCGAGCAAAGCTGCAAACGCCCCATCTGGTGCCATGGTTTGACCATCCTTGTTATTGGCACTCCACATCATAACATCATGTAAAGCACAGGGAATTAAGGAGTCAATACTGCAGGTCTGTGGACGGACAACTTTCTGGATGCCTGGCTCTCAGCAGAGAAGAACTGCAGACCCAGAGGACTCTGAGTTCAGAGGGGAAGATCAGCCATGGCAGGAAGTCCCAGGATCTCTCCCTTGCTCGCTGCCCTGCAGTGCGTGGCTTCGCTCCCCAGCCGTGCGCCTGCAGTTCAAAGCAAGGCTTTTGCTTTCAGACGCTCGCTCTCTCATTTGATATCATTTATTACCCTAAATTTCAATTTCAGTTTATAATATTGCGTTATCTTGCATTCCCATATCATGTTTAGTAAAATTGCATTTCCTCCTAAGATCCTTGCTGCTGATTTATTATTGTTGTTGTTATTATTATCGTTCATATTATCATTCATATCTTTATTTTTGGCCAGAAGGACTGCAGGCCTGCTGTCCTCTGTCACGGGCACAGATAGTTCTAGATGGCTCCGAGACAAGGCAGCACACTCAGTAATAGAAAACAAGCCATGTTTAAGGGGAAAAACAGGGATTTCTAGGAAAATAAGCGATATTTCAGAGGAAAAACAGGGATTTCTGGCAGAAAGAGCCATATTGAAAGGGAAAGACCACAGATTTAATGGGAAACATCGATTTTTAGCAGAAAAAGCCAGATTTAAGGGGAAATGCCCCATATTTAATGGGTAAAAGAAGGATTTCTAGCAGAAAAAGCCATATTTAAGGGGAAAAACAGGGATTTCTGTGAGAAAACCCCAGATTGAAGGGGAGAAATAAGGATTTCTAGCAGAAAAAGGAATATTTCTGGGAAAAACCCCAGATTTAAGGGGAAAACCAGGGATTTCTAGCACAAAAAGCCATTTTAACGGGAGAAACAGGGATTACTGGCAGAAAAAGCCATATTTAAGGGGAAATGCCCCATATTTAATGGGTAAAAGAAGGATTTCTAGCAGAAAAAGCCATATTTAAGGGGAAAACTCCCAGATTTAGTGGGAAAAAATGGGGAATTCTGCCAGAAAACCAAAGATTGAAGGGGAAAAACAGGAATTTTGAGCAGCAGAAGCTCATATTTAAGGGGAAAAATCCCAGATGTAATGGGAAAAACTGGGTTTTCTGGGAGAAAAAGCCAGATTGAAGGGGAAAAAACCCAGATTTAAGGATCAAAACAGGGATTTCTGGCACAAAAAGCCATATTTCATGGAAAAACCCCAGATTAAATGGAAAAACAGGGATTTCTAGTAGAAGCCATATTTAAGGGGAAAACCCCAACATTAAACAGGGAAAACAGGGATTTCGGGCAGAAAAAGCAACATATAAGAGGAAAACCCCCATATTTTAGGGGAAAGACAGGGATTTCAAACAGAAAAAGCATATTTAAAGGGAAAGACCACAGATTTAATGGGAAACATCGATTTCTAGCAGAAAAAGCCATATTTAAGGGGAAATGCCCCATATTTAATGGGTAAAAGAAGGATTTCTAGCAGAAAAAGCCAGATTTAAGGGGAAATGCCCCATATTTAAAGGGCAAAAGAAGGATTTCTAGCAGAAAAAGACATATTTAAGGGGAAAAACAGGGATTTCTATGAAAAAAAACCCCAATTTCAGGTGAAAAACCCCATATTTAAGGGAAAAACAGGGATTTCTGGCAGAAAAAATCCAGATTTAAGGGGAAAAACAGGGATTTCAGTGAGAAAACCCCAGATTTAAGGGGAAAACCAGGGATTTCTAGCACAAAAAGCCATTTTAAGGGGAGAAACAGGGATTACTGGCAGAAAAAGCCATATTTAAGGGGAAAGACCACAGATTTAATGGGAAAAATCCATTCTTAGCAGAAAAAGCCATCTTTAAGGGGAAATGCCCCATATTTAATGGGTAAAAGAAGGATTTCTAGCAGAAAAAGCCATATTTAAGGGGAAAACTCCCAGATTTAGTGGGAAAAAACGGGGATTTCTGCCAGAAAACCAAAGATTGAAGGGGAAAAACAGGAATTTTGAGCAGCAGAAGCTCATATTTAAGGGGAAAAATCCCAGATGTAATGGGAAAAACTGGGTTTTCTGGGAGAAAAAGCCAGATTAAAGGGGAAAAAACCCAGATTTAAGGATCAAAACAGGGATTTCTAGGAGAAAAAGCCTCATTGAAGGGGAAAAAAAACCCAGATTGAAGGGGCAAAACAGGGATTTCTGGCAGAAAAAGCCATATTTCATGGAAAAACCCCAGATTAAATGGAAAAACAGGGATTTCTAGTAGAAAAAGCCATATTTAAGGGGAAAAAGCCCCGATTTAAGGGGAGAAACACGGATTTCTGAGAGAAAAAGCCATATTTAAGGGGAAAAATCCAATATAAAACAGGAAAAACAGGGGTTTCAGGTAGAAAAAGCAATATATAAGAGGAAAACCCCAATATTTTAGGGGAAAACAGGGATTTCAAACAGAAAAAGCATATTTAAAGGGAATGACCGCAGATTTAATGGGAAAAATTCATTTTTAGCAGAAATCGCCATCATTATAAGGAAATGCCCTATATTAATATTTCATACAAATCCCTGTTTCCCCCTTAAATATCGCATGTATCCATAGAAATCCCTTTTTATTTCCCCCAAAAATATCGCTTATTTTCATAGAAATCCCTGCTTTTCCCCTAAAATATCGCTTATGTACCAGAACCCAAACCCTAACCCTTACCCTAACCCTAACCCTAACCCTAACCCTAACCCTAACCCTAACCCTAACCCTAACCCTAACCCTAACCCTAACCCTAACCCTAACCCTACCCTAACCCTAACCCTAACCCTACCCTAACCCTAACCCTAACCCTAACCCTAACCCTAACCCTTACCCTAAACCTAACCCTAACCCTAACCCTAACCTAAAACTAACCCTAACCTAAACCTAACCCTAACCCTAACCTTCACCCTAACCCTAACCCTAACCCTAACCCTAACACTAAACCTAACCCTTACCTTTACCGTAACCCGAACCCTAACTCTAACCCTAACCCTAACCCTAACCCTTACCCAAACCCTAAACCTAACCGTAACCCTAATCCTAACCCTAACCCTAACCCTAACCCTAACCCTAACCCTAACCCTAACCTAAATCTAACCCTAACCCTAACCCTAACCCTAACCCTAACCCTAACCCTACCCTAACCCTAACCCTAACCCTAACCCTAACCCTAACCCTAACCCTTACCCTAAACCTAACCCTAACCCTAACCCTAACCTAAAACTAACCCTAACCTAAACCTAACCCTAACCCTAACCTGAACCCTAACCCTAACCCTAACCCTAACCCTAACACTTACCCTAACCCTTACCTTTACCCTAACCCTAACCCTAACTCTAACCCTAACCCGAACCCTAACCCTTACCCGAACCCTAAACCTAACCGTAACCCTAACCCTAACCCTAACCCTAACCCTAACCCCTAACCCTAACCCTTACCCTAACCCTAACCCTAACCCTAACCCTAACACTGACCCTAACCCTAACCCTAACCCAAAACCTAACCCTAACTCTTATCCTAACCCTAACCCTAACCCTAACCCTAAACCTAACCCTAACCCTAACCCTAACCCTAACCTTAACCCTTACCCTAACCCTTACCCTAACACTTACCCTAACCCTAACCCTAACCCTAACTCTTACCCTAACCCTAACCCTAACCCTTACCCTAACCCTAACCCTAACACTAACCCTAACCCTTACCCTAACCCTAACCCTAACCCTAACCCTAACCCTAACCCTAACACTGACCC